CCATAGCTGCCATAGCTGTAGTTAGTAGTGAGTGTGTGTGTGTGCTCGAGTGTTAGAGTGATGCGTGTGGGATATCCAGGGTGATCCAGTGTATATGAACAGTGAGATGTTTGGGCGCTGAAGTCGCCATAGCCATTTGAGAGTGAACTCGTATCTGAAGCCATATCTCTGAGTTTTGAGTGGGCGCATGTCGCCAGTGTGCTGCGTTACTGTTTACATGTGTGAAAAGTGTGTTTGAAAACGAATCTGATTGCACATCTTCCCTACACTATTAAAATTGCTAGCGTCACAAATCTGAAATCCGGGCCGTCGCGGTGTCGTAGCAAACACCCTTACAAGGGTATTTGCCGTCCTTTTTAAAGATCGCACTGGGTGCGTTCTTGATCAACATAACACATATCCCGTTAGGGCGCTCACCTCGGCAACCTCGCTCCTGGCGAGAATCCGATCCAAATGCAAACGAATTAGAGAGTGTGTGGGGCACGCATTACTGCGTTGCGTAGTGAAGTGGCCGTTACTTGGGCTCGCACCTCGGCATGGGTTTGCACTGCTAACTCGATGCAGTCGCATTGCCGACGTAACGCAGTTGGACTCACCACTTGCCCACTTGCCTCTGTCCAAACATGAGACAACTTCGAAAGGCCACTTCTGGACCTTCCTGAAGTCTGTTGGCTTGGCCTTTCGAACACTGTAGCAGCTACGACCTTGACCTTTCAGGACTGTAGCAGCTACGGCCTTGACCTCTCAGGACTGTAGCAGCTATGAACTTGACCGTTCAGAAGAGCTACAGCTACGACTTCTAGAACTCACTAAGACCTCTATCCGACAGGTCCACAGATCGAACCCCTACAACCTATGGACCTACGACAGCCTACCAACTGTTGCGAATACACAGGTCATGGGTTCAACTCTCGGGGTCGACACAGGTATTGTACACAGGTAAGGTAAGAACTAGGGATCGAGCTCTGGGATCTGCATTCGCTACTGCTAACAGGTGAATACCGTTTCACTCCCGCCGGCCTAAATTCGAGGTCCTCCGAGAATAAGACTGGGTTTTTACCTTTCCTTTCTCTCTCGTAGGCTCTAACTACGCCGGGAGCTGTTTCTAGAAGTTCAGTTCTAGTAAACCAGCGGTCGTCCTTGGGTTCCTGATAAGCAAATCGGACCTTATACTGCTTTTGTGGACGACCTCTACCTCCTATTCTGAATACATTGTCACCAACAATGCCCTCAATGTCATATCTTCCATCCATGTCCAAGGGGATCATGGATCTTCTTGATGGAAACTGTGGACTTGTGACACACGGCAACAACTTTGACTCATGGAACACAGGGTAGGTGTGGAGGTGTGCTGGAATCTCTATTGTATAGGACGGCCCATCCTCTCCGCCCTTAACCTCTAGAACTGGCCATGGTCCCCTGTATGCTGGCAGTAACTTCTGCGAAATGTTTTCCTTAGGAGCAAACTCTTTGGACTTGACCCAGACTAGGCCGCCTACTTGAAACTGCGACGGGCGACGGTGCTTATTAGCCTGCTCTATCATTTGGTGTTGGGCCTTCCTGAGGTTTTCAACAACGACAGCTAACTCCTTCTCGTGATGTATCGCAAACTCCCTAGTATCGGGTGGTAGCCTATGATCTGGTCCCGGTTAAGTCCTTCAAACGGTCTGCGCGGTCTAAAGGACTTATGCAGTTCATTGGGAGTACGACAAGTGGCTAAGTGCACGCTATTGTTATATGCACTGGCTGCCTTGGGCAACATCTCGTCCCAATTGACTTGATCTGGTCTAATATACATGCGCATAACTTGCCGCAGGATCTTATTCATCTGCTCGGTCTGACAGTTAGTCTCTGGGTGACGGCCAGATGACATGAACAACTTTGACCCGTATACTTTTATTAACTCTTGCCAGTTCTGGCTTGTAAACCGGGTATCTCTGTCACTGACTATGGACAATGGGATCCCGTAATCACGAACCCAAAAGTCAAAAGACTTTTGAATTACTAACTCTGTATGGGCTTCTGTGGGTAAGGGAACAAAAACAACATATTTGCTAAATCTATCCACTACTACCATGACTTGGCTCTTTCCATGCCTACTTTTGAATCGCCAGGCTGATCAGGTATAGGCAAGGGTCGAAGAAGACCTAGAGGGGCACGCGTAGTTGTCTTATTCCTCTGACAGACTTTGTAACTGCGAACGTACTCTATGCAGTCGGCTTTCATTCCTGGCGAAGTATACGCATGCATCAGATTAGCTAGAGTCTTTTGCCAATCAAAATGTCCCTATATGCCGTGGCATTCCCTAGGATCAAACTACGGATCTCCTCACTATTAGGAACGCACAGACGGTCTATTACCTTGGTCTTCTCGAACAGTAATCCCTCTGTAGTGCGGTAACCTGGTTCGGTCTCTGGGGCCTCCTTAACTTTCTTGAGGAGGTCACTATAAATAGGGTCATGCGTATACGCCTGTCTGAATTTCTCTTGCAGGTCTCTCCCTATATCCAGATAGTGAACTATAGCTCCAAAGTAATATGATCTCCTACTTAGAGCATCAACATCTACGTTATACTTGCCCTTTGAGCTCAAAGTCATAATGGTCTATCTCAGCGACCCACCTAGTTAGCTTAGGGAGTCTCGTGGTTTGAATAAACTTTGAAGTGCCTCCCAAGCACGTAATGCTTCCAGTGCTCTAAGGCCTGCCTGAGAGCGTAGAGTTCTCTCTCCTAAGTCGAGGTAGCTACTTTCTCCGAAGGCATCCTCGCTGCCATAAACTCTACGGCTCTATAGTCATTGCCGTGGTTTTGCTGTAACACGACGCCTATATCATACTGACTTGCGTTCGTGGTGACGACAAATGGCAAGGACGGATCTGCCACCTTGAGGACAGGGTACTCTATCAACGCTCGCTTTAACTTCTTAAGAGCGGATGTACAATCTTTGTCCCACTTCCAGATTGCATCCTTCTTGAGCAACCTGCGAAGGGGAGCGACGATAGTGGAAAAGTTCCTCACGAACTTCCTATAATAATTAGCTAGGCCTAGAATCGACCACAATTTTGTCATCGTGCGGGGCGTCGTCCAATCTCCAATCGTCGCTATCTTGCTATCCTCTGGGTTAATGCCATCTCCGTCTAAGACGTGGCCCAAGTACAAAACTTGTGTCTTGGCCCACTCACACTTCTTCGCATTGATCTTGAAGTTAGTCTCTCTCAACTTCTCCAAGACCAGCCTTAAATGACCCTGGTGCTCTTGGAGGGTCTTACTGAAAACCAATATCTCATCTAGGTAGACTACAACAAATCTATCTAACCAAGGCCTAAACACATCATTCATAAAGCGCTTGAATGTGGCGGGCGCATTGGTCAATCCAAAGGGCATCAGGATGAACTCATAATGCCCATATCTAGTCCGGAAAGCAGTCTTGTACTGGTCATCGGGATGGACTTTTATCTGATGATATTCGAACTTCAAATCTATCTTCGAGAAATATCTGCAGCCCTGCACCCGATCCAAAAGATCGTCTATCCTGGGCAGCGGCTCAACATTCTTCACTGTAATGGCATTCAAACCCCTATAATAGATACACATGCGCAACTCTCCCTCCTTTTTGGGGACAAACAACACGGGTGCTCCGAAAGGAGACGAACTGGCCTAATCCAACCCTTTCCCAGGAGTTCGTCTAACTGCTTACACAACTCCTCTAACTCTCTTGGGGACATCCTGT